AAAACGATAGTAGGAACTTTTGCAGATGACACTGCTATCTTCGCTACCCACGGCAATCCAACCACAGCCTCCTTCCTCTACAGAATCGTATAATCCTCATAGAAGCATGGCTAAGCAAATGGAAAATGAAGGTAAACGAATCAAAGTCCACATAAACAACTTTCATCCTCCGAAAAGGCACTTGCCCCACAGTGCAAATAAATCACATCAACATACAACCAAGAGAACAGGTTATATACCTAGGATTAACCTTTGACAACAAACTAAACTGGAGACAACACATAATCAAGAAAAGAAAACAGATGGACCAAAAAAACCAAAGAACTCAACTGGCTGATAGGAAGAAAATCCCACCTCTCCATCGAAAACGAGTTACTAATCTACAAAACAGTGATCACGCCTATATGGACATACGGCATAGAACTCTGGGGCTGCGCCAGCAAATCCAACATTGCCATTATACAGCGTGCCCAGTCCAAAATACTCCGAACCTTCACGAACGCACCGTGGTATGTATCCAACCGCACCCTACATACAGCTCTAAAAACTCCTTATGTAACGGAAGTCATCCGAGAAAACAGCACCAAGTACTTCAGCAAACTAGAAAATCACTCAAACCCACGTCTTCAACCACTACTACAACCACATGAAAATCGAAGACTCAAAAGAAGTTGGCCATCAGATCTAACGAACTGAGGAAAACATCACTGGATGTTTATTCCGCACACGCCAGAAGAGTGTACAATAAATAGTTACTAAATTGTACACCAATCAGCTCATTGACTTATAGATTGTACAGTCTGATTGTCAGTAAAGGAGAGAAATAAAACAGTTTATGTTGAATAGCGTTCAACCGTTGAAACAAAACTGGTGTAGGTACGCTTGTTTAGTAACGGTTCAACGCAGCATCCAGTACTTCAGTGCTATCGACAGATGTCTCGGTGTACTGGCGCTCACATCTGCTTTCTTGCACTTCTTGGCTTATTGTTTTGTGGAGTTAAAAATGGAAATTCTCGCCAAACACATTAACTCCTACACAAGTATCTTCGTTCACTCTGAATTTAGCCCAGCGCTGAATTCGTAACAAGTTCTGTTTCGGGCCTACACATCCTTCTGTCGGTCATTTCCATCGAAAATCGGTAGAAAACTAAGTATGCATGCAGCGTGTATCCTCAACA